GACGATGGGGAGAAACTGGAGGAGTTTGGTGGCCGCAAGTCAGAGTAGTAAAAATTTGAAGAATGGCGGAATGCAAGGTTGGAGGACCAAACACCAGGTTCTCCCCACCCCATACAAGGCTCCTTGTGATAGTCGGACCCAGGCTGTGAGGGAAAGGTGGAAATCCGGAAAAGGCGGCGAAGGGCGAAATCCTCTGGTAATGCCAGGCGTAAAGACACTTGTACCAAAAGAATAAATAAAAACAAACATGGAGGAAGAAGGATGTAAACTTGAATGAGAAACAGAGCACTGTACATGGAGAGCTTAGGGCAGGAAAAGGAACGAGGACAGAACAGAGCCTCCGGGAGGGAGGCTCACACGGAGAAGAATCATAGCAGCTTGACTCACTCAGTTAAACTAGTGTTTGCCTACTGTCCTCTACACGCCATCACTGGGATCAGGGATGTGATCTTGTCCTCAGAAAGCTCCCAGGCAAGATAAGGAAGCCAGCAAGGCTCACAGCTCAGTTATAGTTCTGGATCTAAGTCCACAATGCCCTGTGTCTGTAAAGCAGAGAGTGAGAAACACTACCAAGGAAAATACCACGTAGGGTCCTTGGGCTGAGAGGCACACTCTGGTGGAAAGTTCGGGAGTGTGGGAGAGTGAAAAGAAAAGGTTACGGTGCTGGAGAAATGGTTCGGTCAGTGTTTGGCACGCAGAACCCAGGTCCTCATCACCCACTTCAAAGCTTTCACGCCGACAGGTGCTGGCCTGTATGTATAACCTCGGTGTTGGAGATGCATGCATACGCGGGTCCCTGAAGCTCACTGATGAGCCAGCCTAGCCAAATCGGTGAGGTCTGGGTTCAACGAGAGATCCTGTCTCAGGAAAAAAAATGCAGAGAGCTACAAAAGAAGACGAGTGACATTGACCTAGACCTCCATGCACACCTGCATGCACAGGTACACACACAGAGTCACACCGGAGCATGTACATACACATGAGCACATGCAACACACGTGTACACAGGCACACACACATACACACACACACACACACACACACACACACACACACACAGAATGATCAGAGAGGTTGAAGAAAATACCAAGAAACTTTACATAGACATCCAGGAGGAGCATTGGGGGACATTAGCCATGGAAAGGATATGTGTCTTTGAGGAATGTTTAGAGTCTTAGAAGCGTATCCCCTGACAAGTGCTCTCTGTCTCCATACCTGGGAGTGTTAAGAAGCAATGGCATCCCTATTTTTTTGCCACTTTTTATCTTGGTCACAGTGCTGAGAAAAACAACTAATATGTCTTGGGCTTTGGAGGGGAACTGGGCAGACCTGAGCTCCAGGCAAAGCTGGGAGCTGTGGGCATTCAGGACACCAGATGGCCGCTGTGTCTCACAAGCTGTCCCGGGGCAGATCAGGAGAATGGGTGTTTTGGTCCAGGGATGAGACTTACGGTGACTTTACTAAAGGATGCTTGGGAACGGAAGGTGCAGATGAGACCAGCTTCAGTACAGTGGTCCAGGAGACTGAGACAACTTCAGTGGTGGAAGTGGGGGGAGTCAAAGCATGAGAGCCGTCAAAAGCCCCCAATGCGACCTGAGTAGCGATTTTTCTCATCACTGTTTGTCGCAACAGCAGCTTCACCGGGGGACGCTTCGCTTTGGCTCAGGGTTCTATGGGATGCCGCGCATTATAGGGAGGAACACAAGATACAGCCCAGGCAGCTCCATAGTGATGAATTTCTATCTCAGCAGAGAAGGAAGTAAATATGGGGCAGAGCTATGAACCTCAAGATCCACCCCACCCCCCATGACCCACTTCACCTCTCAAAGTTTCCATACCCTCTCAAAACACCAAGTGTTCAAACACGAGGGCCCGTGAAGGACATTTCACATCCAAGGTGTAACGAATATCAATTAGACCACACAGGACGAGCTCTGGGACTGTAGCTCAGCTGACAGAGTGCTTGCCTAGCACGCAAGAGGCCCTGGGTTCAATGCCCAGCACTGCACAGAGTGGGTATAGTATTGCACACCTGCACCCCAGCACTGGGGAGGCGTGGGCGGGAGGGTCAGAAGTTCCAAGTCTTCTTTGGTTGTTCAGCAGTTGGAAGCCAGCTTGGGCTACATGTGCCTGCCTCGAGGGGACAATGTAAGAAGAATAATGTGTAATATTGTGGGCAGAGAGGGGCGTGCTGAGAGTAAAGATGGCGCTGTTAGGACCCACGAGAAAAGGGAGAGGGTTACGGAAAGGGTCCTGAGGAAGTTGGAGAGACCAAAGCCCAGGTGTAGCTGGGGGATTGGCACTCAAGAGCTGAAACGAGGAACAATGAAAGACAGTGTGCACCGATCCATGCCTGTAAGCGTTTGAGGCGGGAATTCGGAGGATTCTGGTGGGGTTTGGGCTGGGCCAGTGGGACAGCGGAGCTGTAGAGGAGTGTCTCCTGCGTGTCCCTTAAAAGGCCTTAACAGTTGTCTCATCCATGCTTGCTTGCCGTGCGGGCCAACGGTGGTGGCAGGCGGCGTTTTGACAGCTCTAGGTGACAAGAAGAGTGGGGGATTATCAATGGAAAGTGACTCGCCCTGCCAAAGAAGGAGCCTGAGGCAAATAAAGAAGAAAAAGGGAAACTCCCAATGGATTGAAAGTCAGTGGAGGAAGCTAGGGTTCCCCAAGGATCTCAAGAAGTGGGGTGTGGGGTGATTCATGATTAGAGGGGAACATGCAGAGGGGAGACGTGCGGTTTAATGGTTTGCAGGGTGATGCGGACGAGGGACTGAACTGGAAGCGTGATGAGGCACTGTCCTAGCAGCTAACTCTGCTACACCCTTCTGAGGTGTCATGAATTTACTTCTCCTGTACAACAATATCCCATTACTCTTCTTCAATGATGACCCCGCATACAGCATGTGCCCGACGCCCTTGCTATGTGCATGTATCCCTTGACAAACGCTGAGGCAGAGCCCTGCTACAAAGCCCAAGTTGATCCTCCTTCCTCAGCCCCACAAATTCACTGTTCACGAGACCATGCCCTGACAAAGCATCTCACACACTCTCTCACTCATGGCATTGTGTTTGCGGGACTGAGAGGAGTTAAGATATGCCATCCTTGGTCTTATAGTTTGAGACCTCTGGGCATTAAGAAACCTAAATAAACATTTCTTTGGGTAGGTGTTGTGGGGATGGATACTTTAGTATCTAAAATGAAGAATTCTTACAGTCCTAGAATCGGAGGCTAATTTTGATAGTGAGTTACCACAAGAAAAATGGAAGTATAATAAGCAAAAACTTTCATTTTATTTAACCTAGAGATACAAGCCACAGTGGCTGTTACCTTCTGCAATGCTTATTGGATGTATTTTTGCACTCTTACATATAGGAGAGATTTATTTATGAACAGAACAAGATGATGGGAAAATAATTCCATGATAACCTAATGTCTCCTCAAACCCCCATGTGGTATAGTTTAAACTACAGCTATGTTAAAAATACGCAAACAATAAAAGACAGAGTTGAGTCTCAGGGACTTCAGCCATCACTGTTGTTAGCCATAAGACAGACTGTCACACTATGAGGCACCTACAAGTTCTTTCTACCACTTGCTGTCTCCTCAACCACATAGTCACCAATTAGCTCAGGAGAAACCACAGTCCTGGTTCTGGTTTGAATCTGAAGCGTCTCCTGCAGGAATATGTCTTGAGCATTTCATCCCCAGTTGGGGTCATTACTTCAGGACAGTGTGGAAACTTCAGGAGATGGGATCTGGCTGGCGGAAGGAAACGACCAGAGGGGACCCAGCCCTGGGTTGGAGCAAGAACTCTTCTGGGATCTGCTGTGATGTGAGGAGCCTCTGCCGTATGTGGCTGCCACTGTGGACTCCACCATGGCTGCCCCCTGTGACTGGCCTGAGCCAGGCCTTTCCTCCTGTGATTTGTTTCAGTTCTATGTTTTCCCTCAGGTGCATAGGTAAAATACATAGTCTTTAAAGCTGCAAATAAGCCTGGGCACCCAGAATATGGTCACCAGAAAGCTCTTTCTATATTAGCTGTGACCACTGGGGAGTAGTTACTCAGAGTGTGACAGATGATATATTGGAGATAGATGTGTCAAAAGATAGATGATAAGTACATACATGGTAGATTGATGGATAGATGGTAGATTGATAGATGATAGATAGAAGATAGATAGATTGATGGATAATAGATAGCAGATAGATAGATAGATTGATAGATAGAAGATTGTATCACAATAAATAAAAGACCAAGATACAGATATTGGGTTGAAGCTTCAAGCTAAAGATCAGAAAAGCAAAACCATTAAGACACTACCTCTACCTCAGACTGAAAGATGATCCTGATTCCACCAAACCTCAGGCTGAAATCCCAGACTTCACTGCTCCTCAGATTCACTCTGACTACTATGCACTCCTCAACATGACTAGAGAATCCTGAGACTCTATGCCTTCCTGTCTTCATTGTGTTTGGAGAATGAATGCCTCTCTTTTATACCTCTCAAATCCTGGGGTTAAAGGTGTGATCTCTGATTCACTCTCCTGATGGGGAATGTTCTTCTGTGTATATGTTTATCCTTTTGGTTGTTGAATAAAGCACTGTTGGCCAATAGGGAACCAAGATAGGTGGGACTAGGAGTCAAGGAGGATTCTGGGAAATGTAGTAAAGAGAAGTCACCATGTGATCCAGGCAGGAAGTTACATAGCAAGGCAGAATCAGTATATAAGCAGGGACAAGCAGGAAATCTTCTCTTCTCTTCTCTGCGGAGACACTAGCAGATGTGATGTAGACCCCAAGGGAGTAAGAGGCCCGGACATTTTCTCTGGTAAGATAAGGTGACAAGGAAATAGGTAGATTAGTAATTATGGGTTAAGAATAAGAAACCCAAGTCATCAGCCAACAGCTTATAACTAATATATCATCTGTGTGTTTCATTGGGGCAGAGAAGGACAGTGCAACCAAGCTGGACCAAGAAAACAACATATCACAAAATGGCACCCAATGTGGGGCTTGAACACACAACCCTGAGATTAAGAGTCTCATGCTCTACCAACTGAGCTAGCTGGGCCAAGAAAACAAGACATTACACTCTCCAGTAGCCCAGGGTAGTCTTGGACTCAGGGATCCTTCTGCCTTTCTCCTAAGTCCTGGATTTTGCTTTTCTCCTGAGTCCTGGGATTAAAGGTGTCTACCACCACTGCCTGGCTTCTACAGTTTGAGGCTGACTTTGCTTTCTGAATCCTTAGGCAAGCTTTAATAAATCAAAAGTGATATATCACCACAGATGATAGATAGATAGATGGCAGATAGTAGATGAGAGATAAATGATATACAAATAGATAATAAATAATAATAGATAATAATGGTAGGTTGATCTATTATAGATAGATTTATTTAGATAGATGATAGATGGGAGATAAATAGATAGATGATGGATAATAGACAGACAGACAAATAGATAAAATTAATCTGCTGATAGACAAATGGATATAGCCCAAGAATTCAGCCATTACCCCCAAAATTCGAAAATCATTTGTTTCCATTTGTTACTGAGCTCCGGAACAGCCATCAGTTGTTACATTTGTACGTAGGCCCTAAAAAACAATCTAGTGATAGACAGGCCCACTATTTCAGCATTTGTAAGACCGGGGTTGATTATTTTTAAGATTTTTATTGCATGTATTTATGTACACATGTGCAGTAGGGGTACATATGCCACCAGAAATGTGGAAGATCAGACAGAGGAAAACCCAAGCTTTCTTTCCTTCTACATGTGGATCCTTTAGGACCAAACTATTTGTCAGGCTAGGTGACAAGTGTCCTTAGCTGTTCAGGCACCTTGGTGGCCTCGGATTTGATATGTCTAAGTAAGAATCTGATGTCATCATCGTTGTGTTTTGAGATAGTGGGGGAGAAGAACATTCCAGAGCCTTCCTCACTTGCTGACGATGTCTTCCCAACTTCTCCATGTAGCCAGCATGTGATTATCTCAAGTTCTTGGAAATTCATTTTCTTGGGTCTAAAGACAGGGTATAAACCAGTAAGAAGCAGTAATCGCGAATAGAGACTACAGGGAAGAAAGTACTGTCATGACCCCATTCGCAGGGCACCGACGGGAGGGAGGGCTCTGTGAATCTTGGCTGAATTGAGCAAACGAACGGAGAAAGAATGTTCCATCCCCATTAGCACATCATCTCAGAAACATCGTTAAGGTAAAAGTGACAAACAGCTATTCCAGGAAAATAGAGTCACTCGTGGAAGAGTCGGAGAAACAGGGTAGATTCTTCCAGCCTGTTTGGATATCTTTGATAAAGCCTCAGGTGTTTAACCCATGGCATTGACTGGACTAGGCAAAAAACATCCAAAGAGATCATCTGAAACCCTTCGTTTTCATATATCTGGTAGATGTGTGTGGATAAGATATAACTTGTGTGGTTCTAGAGTCTCAAAGTTAAAAGAGAAAATATTGCATGTTTCTGCCCTGCTTGGAGATTGTTGGACAAGCACTAAAAGAGTGTGATGTACCCTCCCTTATGTCACCAAAGTGGATGGAGCACAGGCAGATTTGTAGATGGGGTCATTTACAATGGTGATGCCACCATTTGTGTACAAAATGTTCCCTGCAGTCTCTGTTTTGTGTGCCTGACTCCCACGGGTGACACTGTTTGAGGACATGACGCCCAGCTGGAGGAAGCAGGTCACCTGGGTTGTGTCTACCCCAAGTCCCTTCTTCCTGTCTATCCTGGAGTGAACAGCCTCATCCTTCACAAGCTCTGGCTGCCATGGTATTCTGTCTTACTACAGCCCAGAATCAGGGTAGCCAAGGACTAGGGACTTGCAGACTCTGAAACAATGAGTGCAACAAATCTTTTCTAATTTCAGCTGTTCTTCCAGATATTATAAACACAGATGAGCCACAGTAACTGTGATGGTGAGTTAACTGTCAACTTGGAAGACTCTAGAACCATCCAGAGACTCTCAGCATGCCTGCAGGGTGTTATCTTGATCATGTTCAGTGAGTCGGGAAGACCTGTCCATGACCTACATGGGATCCTGAACAGTGTAAGTCAGGAAATGGAGTTGAGCGGCTGCATGTAGTCATCCCTTGAGCTCTGCTTCCCGACTGTGAATGTAAGGCGAGAAGCAGCTTCAAGCCCCTGCTGCATGACCTCTGCACTGGGGTGGGCTCTGCCCGCAATTGTGAGCTAAGATGAGCCCTTTCTCTTTTGGATTGCTTCTGTCCGAGTATCTTATCACAGCAAAGACCCAAAGCCACACAGCTAAGGTGACGTGTAGTCCCAAACCCAGTCCACACAAACTTTAACAGTAGGGAAGCACTTATCCCTGGCACAGGAAGTTCTGGTTCTTTCTTAGAGTCCCTGTGTATCAGACCTAAAAGTATTCAACACTTACCCTAATGGACCCAAATGCTATAAATAGTCAAAAGTCAAAATGTTGCAGTATATTTTCTAATGTGGTTTAAAAAATCTTTATTGAGATCTCAAATAACACCAGAAATCAATTATTTTGACCCAACTGCTGAACTGTCCAGTGGTCCATGCATGAGGAAGCTTAAATATAACCTTGAGGTTGTCCTCTGTGGACAGCTGGGAAGGCCAAAATGAAGCCGCCCACCCCTCTCCACGTCCGTGGCTTGCTCTGTTCCTCTTCAGGCATCCTCAAAGGTTGGAGAGGGATGTTATTTTTCGGGAAATGGGAGTTGGGCTCTGAGGCCATCCTGCTTGGGATGGATGTGAGCTTTACCTGCTGGTAGCTGTGTGATCTCAGTAAGTCACTGAACAGCCCTGATCTGGGTTATACTTGTCTGACTTCCATGACTATAATGAATTACCTGAGGATGCATAATTTGGAAAGAAAAAGGTTTCGGGGTTGCACACCCAAGATTGGGCCTCATGGGTGGGTCTCTGTTGAGGACAGTTGGTATCACGAAAGGAACATGAGGAAAAGGAGATCCATCATGTCTCCAGGGAAGAAGGCAGGGAGCCATTCGGCAGCCAGCCCCACTTCCTTACATAGCTGGAGTCTCACACCACCTACCACTATCCTAGAGGCGCTGACTTCATTAGGATGCCCTTGAAGGCTCAGCCCCGCTCAGGCTGCCACACTGGGGCCAAGCTTCCAACACAAGAACCCTTGGGGGATGAACCATAGGGAACCCAGAGCGCTGAGTTTCTACAACACTCAAATGGACACCGTAGGAATGCCTCTCTAACTGGGTGGCAAAGATTAACTGTGGGGAAGTCTCATGGGTTTTTTCTTGTATTAAGATGGTCTGGAAACTTGTGTGTGTGTGTTTGTGTGTGTGTGAGAGAGAGAGAGAGAGAGAGAGAGAGAGAGACAGAGACAGAGACAGAGACAGAGACAGAGAGAGAGAGAACATGAGAGAACATGTGAACATGTCCTGGCACCCATATAGAAGTCAGTGGTTCTCTCCCTCTACCATGTGGGTTTAAGAGCTCTAACTCAGATCATCAGACTTGACAGCAAGAACCTTTACCCACTGCGAACCATCTCCCTGACACCACTTAGAAATTTCCTAGGTAATTTATTATTGGTGACCAGGTTGCTTCATAAGAAAAAATGTTTCGGGTGGTACCTACCACATTCTTAAGGGACACTCCGCTAAGGGACAGCAACTAGAACATATAGACTTCCTGGTGGTCTTCCAGTCTTGCTGAAGACACAAGGTGAATTCACTGAAATCCAAAAGGGCGGCGTCTACGTGTTTCTTCCAGACTCATTCATTGGAAACAACGCTGTGAACCGAGGGCAGAGGGCAAAGATGCGATGAAGACTACGTGATCACTTCGTGGGGGAGTCCGTTCCGGCTGCTGCCGAGCCGCCAGGGAGTGTGAACAGGGAAGAGAGCAAATGCACGAGGGGAGGAGTCTGGGTGCGGGGAGCAACTGTTGGGATAAACTGTCAGGTGACTTGCTTCCAGGGAGGGGGGGCATTAGATGCAATTGATGGCATCCTTGGTCCTGTGCCTGGGGATTCCCTTGAATACCGTGCTGCTTCTGAGTGTGGCCTGAGGCTTTGGTGAGGCTCCCCCTCCTTCAGTTAGCAGTGAACTCCTGGTGACTGGTCAGACCAAAGCCCAAATCCCCTTCTGAGTAATGATAGAGTAGGTTACCCTAATGGGAAAACTATAGGGAAAGCCTAGTTTGTGTGTCCTATTTGGGAATTCACAGACAGGGACCCCAGAGCTTTTCCTTTGAAGCTGTTTCAAAGGCAGGAGGGGCTCCTCTCCTTGAGGACACGGGGATAGACCCCCACAGGAGCCCAGTGTTTTTCTCTCCCTGCAATGTGTATGGCAGATCTACACATTCCTACTGAGAGCAGTGTGGGTCCCCTAGGCTGGCAGCCTGCCACTAGGGCCCCGTAGCCTCGGCGTGGATGGGCGGCGTGCATCCTGTGATAACCAGAGTCTGAAGGTTCAGTACATGTCACCAAGGGTCCTTGGTTGGCACCGTGATGGGCAAGAGCATCAAAGGAAGCCGTTGCGAAGGACTGCACAGAGGCCAGGCTGATAACACTGTCCTGAGTTATATTTGTCATAACCGTGGGGAAGTGTTTTCCAGAACGCAGAAGCTCTCCATTAAGCCATTTTGTGTGACTGCGTTAAGCTGTGGGATAACAACAAAATTCTTCAAAATGGAATTTGGAGGATGACGATCAGGACAAGGTGGTGTGGAGGGGTGGGGAGGGTCCTGTGACTGATGAAATCACCCGGTTTCAGGTAGCTGGGAAACTGTGACCCGGCACACTTCTTGAGAAGTTAGATAATAATCAGCAGACAGACAAAGATTCTAAACTCCCTTTTTACTCACAGCGCTTCTGAGTGAAAGGTCGATCCGGCCTGGAAGAAACGCTCATTTGGCAAGGATGTGCCAAAGGTCCCTGTGACAAAGGGTGTGGGACGGACAGGACTCTACTCTCGACAAACTGACAGAGTGCCAGGATCATCGGGCCAGACAGGCAAACAGGAAGCCGTGTTCCCATGTGAAGCATTTATAAATACGTCCGTGCTCACACGTGTGTGTGTGT